TCTCTTGTTATCACATAAGTCATTGGTATTTTACATAGTTCATGATCCTATAACGTATATCCCAGTTTCATATAGCTCGTATAACGTTTTCCTATATACATAAATCATTGCCATATAACACAGATCATATAAATTCATACCACATAACATGTAATACAAACAAAACATATTCACGAAATATCAAGCATAATTATACTTCTAATCATACAATCATATATTCAACATATTGGAAACAGACTTGTCGCAAGTCCAATTTCCATATACAATACACATATTCTAATAATATGCACTCACCTGGTCTCAATGAACACTCTTAATCTCTTGTTTTCTTTTCGTATCTTACTCTTCCGACCTATCCAAACTTTGTTTTTGATCAATGTCTACAAAATCATATATTGATACTTATCAGTATCCAATTGATATACTATAATCTATGATTTCATAAACTGAAATAACGATTTATCCCATTTCCCATTGAAGTATATCGGTACATTCTACAGTGCATCGATGCATTATTTAACATGTACAACGATGCACTACTCATGCATCGGTACACAAATCACCTTCGATGTTTTAATCTTAAGGGGTGTATCGATGCACTCCTTATGCATCAATGCACTAGTTGCATTCGATGTTCATTTATTTGAGAGTGCATCGATACACATTGAATATGCATCGATGCACACTAACCAGAATTACATTTTAAGCACGAAAATATCTTGTTTTGACCCTAAATTCTACTTATTAATCCCTCCTTATACCTTAAAACTTTTCTATACATATTTAAACCTTTTTATAATACTATAACACTTCACCATAATTCTTGAATCAACGAATTTCATCAAATTTTCCATGTGTTCTAAATTCAATTCTATCACCTCTAGCTTCTTAATTAACCCTTTGATAAGTCAAATCCATCTTTATAACTTCAAAAACCTTTCTATAACAAAAGTTCATTTCTAAACTCTTAACAAAAATTCCTTTCTAATTATCTCTTCTTGGTGTTTTAAACTTATATAAGCTTTCCTTAAGCTTATATAACCCCCCAAAGACTCAAATCCAACTTAAGAATTCAAGAAATCAACAACTAAATCAAACTTACCTTTAAAGATGGAAGCCAACGTGAAGAATGAAGAAGAAGAGATAAGCTTTCCAGATAACTCTCCTCATCCCCACGTGTTATCTTCCTAAATAAGGGAGATAAAAATATCATCCAAATTACCAAATTACCATAATACCCTTATAATCCTTTCATATTTACCCTTTTATCTAATAATGAAATATTCCTATTAAAATCCTTGAACTTTCAATTTTTCCTAAATTGATCCCCAAATTTCAAAAATTCTCATTTTAGTCACTGACCTGAATTTCTAGATGTTACACTACAACTTTGAAAATTTTGCTTAATCTTAATTTTCCTAGAGAAACGTTAACAGATTTAGAGAAAGACATTACTGATGAGGAGATTAAAGAAGCAATTTTTACTCAATGTAATGATAAAGCTCCAGGACCAGATGGTTATTCTCCTTTATTCTTCAAGAAGTCATGGACTGTTATTAGGGAAGATGTTACTAAAGCTGTTAAATTCTTTTTCCTAAAGTCTTTCATCTCTCCTTCTTTTAATTCCACAATTATAACCTTGGTTCCTATGATCACAAATCCTAGCAAGGTTACTGACTATAGACCCATTTCCTGCTGCTCAGTGGTCTATAAATCTATCACTAAAATCATTATGAAGAGACTTTCTATTCTGTTGTCTGATATAATTACTCCCAACCAATCTGCCTTTGTCAAAGGTAGATCCATTATCAACAATACTCTTCTAGCACAAGAGCTTGTGAAATGCTATGGGAGAAATTCTATATCCCCTAGATGTGCTCTTAAGATCGATCTACACAAAGCTTTTGATTCTCTCCACTGGGGGTTCTTATCTTCTATCCTCAAGGCTATTGAGTTGCCTACTAAATTTATTGAATGGATAGAAACTTGCTTCACACAAGCAAGATATTCTATTTCTTTTAATGGCTCATTGATTGGTTATTTCAAAGGAGAAAGAGGCATAAGACAAGGTGACCCATTATCACTTATCTTATTTGTCCTTGCTATGAACATTCTCTCAAATCTTCTTAACATTGCTGCCAAAAGAGGTGTGTTTGGATTTCATCCTAAATGTAAAAAACTTGGTCTCACCCATCTCTCTTTTGCTAATGACCTACTTATTTTCTGGGTGTTATTACTGTTCTTGACAAATTCTATGACATGTCTGGTCTTATAATTAATGCATCAAAAACTGAAATGTTTACTACTGGTATTCCTGTAAGAACTATTAAGCCTATCAAGCTTTCTAGTGGTTTCTCTCATGGTCTTCTTCCTGTCAGATATCTTGGAGTTCCACTAGTCACTAGAAAGCTTAATGTTAAAGACTGCTCTGCACTCATTGAAAAAATTAAATCCAGAATTTATCAGTGGTCTGGGAAATATCTAAGTTATGTTGGCAGACTTGAACTGGTTAAAACAGTCCTTTTTAACACCGTAAATTTCTGGTGTAGGCAGTTCCTACTCCCTCATCCTGTTATTAATAATATTAATCAGTTGTGCTCTCAATTTTTATGGAAAGGTTCGAACACTGCTGCTTCCGGTGAAAGGGTAAGTTGGGATAATATTTGTTGCTCAAAGTCAGAAGGTGGACTTGGCTTAAAGGATCTTAAATCTTGGAACAAAGCCCATATAATTCAGCTAATTAAGAACCTCCTTGCTGGTGAAGGTTCATTATGGATAGCTTGGACCTACATTTATGTTATAAAATCCAATGACTTCAGAGACATGACTCAAATTACCACTGCTAGTTGGGGCTTCAAAAAATCTTGAAATTAAAAGCAGAGGTACTCCCTATTCTTGATGCAGGTGCAATATCTACTAAAAGCATTTGGGAAGAGATAAGAGTTAAACATGCAAAGGTCCCATGGCACAAACTTATTTGGTTCCCACTTTACATACCTAAGCTAAGCATTATTACTTGGATGGCTATACTAGATAGACTTCCAACAAGAGAAAAGCTCTCTCGTATGGGAATTTCAACTACGATTTCATGTGTGCTTTGTAATGACTCTAATGAATCCATAAACCATTTATTTGCAGAATGTACAATAGCAACCAACTTATGGAAAGTTGTATTACGCCTCAATCACCTTACCAAGCCTTGTATGTCATGGGATGTTATGCTTACATGGGCTTCGTCTTCTTGGAAAGGTAAATTCCTTCTAACTTCCATCTTGAAGATAACTTGGTGTTCCTTCATCTACACTGTTTGGGAGGAAAGAAATCGTAGGATTTTTCAAGGATGAACTAGGACAAATGAAGAATTGTTAAGATCCATAAAAGACATTGTAGGTGCTAATCTTAGCAATAGAGACCTCAATAGAATTGATCATGTTAACTCTATACTTTGTACCAATTGGGGTATAGATTAAACTTATTTTTGTTGTACATAACTTTTCTTTTATCCTTGATTGGGATATTTGTATTGACACTTCCTTGGATAATAAATTTTTTACTTATCCAAAAAATAATAATTTGTTATGCACGAAAGTTGTTCTGTAGAAGACGATATGTCGTCCAACTGTATTTTAAATTGTCCTACAATCTCAACGTCTTCTCCGAAATATTATAGATATCATCTAGTTAAGAAAATAAAAATTCATTTACAATACACAAGAATTTTTTTTCTATTGCATTATATGGGTAGTTATAAGGACTCTTTTATTATAAAATTAAAATTATTTTAATTTATGTCATAGAGTTATAATTAAATTGATAAAATTATTATTCTTTGTCGTCATAAACTAAAATTCAAATTTGGTGTCATTCATTTTTTCCTTTACATTTATAATAATTAAAAAATAGATAAATAATATTATTAAAGATTTTGAATTTGTACCAACGAAGATTGGTCTGAGTGGAAGGGGCTCTGGTCGCTTAAGCAAGTAGTCTCTAGTTCGAACCCTTGTAGATGCATCAAACTTTCTTGGGAGAAGTCCCCACCTTTAGTACCCGACAGTACCTCGTAGGATTAGTCCTAGGCGAAGCTTGTAGATACCTCGGGATACCAAAAAAAAAAGATTTTGAATTTGTTTGTCATATTTTAATGTTTTAAATATTTCTAACTAAATATTTTCTTAAATTTTTTAAAAGAATTATTAACTTTTATTTAAAAATAATAATAAATCATTCAAAAGTTTTTAAAAAAATAATTTAATCTTATAATAATTTAATTTTGTAAATAAACTCTTTAAATCATGCTATCAAAAATCCGTTGTTGATCGCACCATTTTTACAAGGGTTATTGTTTCGGCACTGGACAACGTCTTTCAAATGTAATGCACTAGTCAATGCATGTTCAAAATTCAAATAACTTGAATTTTAATTTAAAAATTCCAAGTAATGCACATTTTATTTCTTAGATTTATTGATTTTCTAGGGATTTAGATTTATTATTTTGGACTGAAATAACACTAATAATATATATTTTATAATTTAATTAAAATATTTATTTCATTGTTAAATAACTAATGGAGCTTGTTGGAATAAAAAGAAATATCTTATTCTAAGATATACCTAAATGAATATACAAGCAAGTCCACAAGACAAAGTCACCGGTGACTGATAGCTGCCACACCTTTCATGGGGCGGCTTCACATTCATATCAATGCCTTAACGATTAATTAAATTAAGAAAATGACTCAAAATCGCTAACCCACTTTGAACACTTTTTCTATAGGCCTTGTGTTGACCAGGTTGCTTTGACACCGAGTACCATTTTATTTCATATTTTCAATATTTAATTTATTTATTAATTATTTAAATTAAATTTTATAAAAATTCATTATAAAATAATTTTTTCATTCAGTTTTCTCTGTCTGTAACGTTAAAATTTTAAATATTGACGTTGTTTGAGAATTCTTAATCCAATTTATTTGATGCTTAGAGCAATAAATCAAGAGTAAAAGAAAGAATAAATCAATATTTTTTTTTATATTTTAACCTATGTTTTTGTACATTGAATTGTATAATCTACCAAATTATAACAAAATTTTTTCCCTAAAAAGGTCTTTTGAGATTCTTGAACTGGTCCATGGGATCAACGCATTCTACTTTGTTCCTATGAAGATTCAACATCTTCAACAAATCTGAAACTCTCTGCTTCGTCTTCTCAACACACCCAAGCTGCAATAACAGCAAAAGTTTCTGAAAAGCACCGACTTGAAGAGCTTCTACGAGGACGCCACCATCTTCCTTTTGCTCGTCCTTGCAAAGCTTATACAAAATGGAGACTGAGAACTCGGTTGCCGAATTTGAAACTCGAAGTATTTTCTTAACCAAAACCGGGATCATCAAGGCATTGTTGCAGGCCATTTCCCTGCCTTGTTCGTTGTTGACGATGCCGTCGAGAACGCCCAAGGCTTTCTCGCACATTGCCCTTTCGGTGTCGACGAGTGTTTCTAGCAGCAATGGGATTACGCCCAGGTTTACGAGTTTAATTACTTGTTTTTGGCTGGTTGAAGACGATGTGATCATGTGGTAAATGATGGTTAATGATGCTTTTGTTGATGTTGAGCAAACTGGGTTTTTAATGAGCTTGAAGAATGCTTCGATGACACCTTCGATATTTGATAATAAATTCAGTGTTTTTCTTTGATCTTCCATTGATGAAACGAGCTCTTTTAAGGCCAAAACTGAGTTTCTTCGCCTCGATAAGTCTCCGCTGCTTAAAAACCATATTAAGCAACGTAAGGCCGGAGCTGATACTATGTAGCCCTTGGCTTCTCCATCGAGAGGGAACATCGTAATCAAAGCTGACAATATCTCCTCCAATACCGCGACGTTTTCACCAAAAGACGACGCCACGGAAAACGTCGCGAAAGCTTCCGATAAAGCGGCGCCTGCCCCATTTGTCGCAATGCACCGTTTGTTACGTTCGCTCTCTTTGGCCAATGCCTTGAGTTTCGCCGCCAAAGCTCGACACCCTTCGTTGTCGAGCTTCTTGCAAGCGAAGTCTATCTTTGAAAGAATCCCCGAAACCTCCATGGAACTTATCGGAACACGAGGGGTAGGGATCCTTTCGATACCGTAAGACCGATTCTCGACGCACCAGTCTTGTATCTTCCTCCTTATGACGTGATTCGGTATCGGTTCCAGACTCCTCAGGACTTGATTCGTGAGAGGACAAGTGAAATTCCCGGCCTCGATCCACTTCTCGATGCTCTCTCGATCATACGTTATCCCCGACGACAACGTGACCGGATCGTTCATCAAGTCTAACGATATCGGACACCTGAAATCTCTTGGGATCGTAAGCTCCATTTCGCCATTCTCGTTCCTTTGCTGCTCTTTCTCTGCACGCTTTGCAGCTCTTCTCTTTCTCCAGGAAGAAATCATCATCGAGGAAAATATAATTTCTCTTTGCTTCTTGTTTGGGTTCAATGAAAAAGAATTGTTCGTATTTTGTTGAATGGATTTGAAATTTGATTGAGCAATATTTAGCATATGTATGTGTATATATATATTCTGAAGATGACATGGGATTGTTCAACGTTTAAGACCTTGAGAAAATATTAAAATTTTTGAAGGAGAAGAATGGGAAAAGGTTTGAATATTTGACCTTTGAAATGGTAAAAGTGTTAGAACATAGAACTTTGTCAAGACAAATAAAGTCGGCGGATTTTAGAATAAATCAAAAAACTTTGACGCAACAAGTGCCGCGTCAATGTCCTGACTCACTCCAGCGGTCGCTCCAGGTCCTGCCAATGTGATGGAGAGTTCTCTTTTACTTAAAAGTAAAATTCAATATATTTCAATTTTTTAGTTTAATTCTTGTGGATACAAATATAATATAAAGAGTATTTATTTTTTTGATTTAAATTTGGATTTTATTAAAATTCTTATAACCATAAGATGGATAATGAAAGTTTGTAAAATCAATATTTATCCTATTATACATTTAATAATTAAATTAGATAATTCATTTAAGTTGATATTTTACAGTTTTTTAATTGATATTAGTTTTAATTTCTTCTATTGTTTTGATATTTTTTAATATTGTATTATTTTTATAATTTTATAACTTAAAAAGATTTAAAAATAGATGATGACATTATTATTAGTATACTGTCGTAACCGTCTTTCGGTTGGGCCCGGAATTGGGCTTCGACTTAGGGAAATGGATTGGAGTCGCCACCGATCATTTATTTTAAAACAAATGGGTTGATCAGATACCCTATTTCTTACCTGATCTGCTTTGTACCAGAAACGTGTCGAGTTCGGGAGTCGGTTACGGTCAAGGAAGGATTAGCACCCTTGAACCGCCCTTTCGGTACCAATTAATTTGTCGGTTGTCTTTATTTGCGAAAATTAAAAATTAAAATTACCCAATTCGAATTACTTACCCTTTGATCGTTTGAAATTACCACTGAAAATGCCGAAAAATGTTAGATGGTAAAATAAAAATAAATGCGAAGAAAAAAAAGAAAAAAAATATATATACAATAATATAATAATAAAATAAAATGACAAAGATAAACAAAAGTTGGTAAAAAAGGAAAAGAATAAAATAATAAAAAAAATGAAAAAAAATTAGTTTAAAAGAATTAAAAAAAATAACATAATATATATATAATAAAAAATAAACAGAAATAATAAAAATAAAAATAATCAGTAAAAATAAAATTAAAAGAATAATAAAAAAAGATCTAAATGAAATATATAACACAAAAATAATATTAATAAAAAAAATAAATTAAATAATATTAAATAAGAACAAAGCAAAACATACATAAATGATTGAATTGAAATAATAACAAAACAAATGATGAAATTGAGAAGAAATCGAAGTAAAAGACCGATTAAGGGGTTTAAATGAAATATTTCAAAATCAGGGGACCAAAACATAATTCGCCCTTAATACTTGAAGGGCTATAGGAGAGTTTACCCCAAAAATTCACCTTCAGTCATTCACGTGGGTCTGTTCCATTTCTAACAAAGAAAGCCAAAATGATGACTTTTCTTTTCATTTTCCTCAAGCAAACGTGGGTCCCTCCTCTTTCAATTTCTAACCTCTTCATCAGCTCAGTGTCTCGACTTTTCAGGGCTAAAGCTTGTCTCCATGGCTCGTAGGGCAACTCCACCGTGTGTTGGAAACTGGTCACTTCAAGCTCGACATTTATGGAAGAAGCGAAGGTAGCTATTCACGCGGTGGAACTAGCGATGGATCTTGGGCTCCAAAAGTATCATAGTGGAAGGGGATTCTTCAATTTCGTTCCATAATCGGCGAACAGGGTGGCTCACATCTTGGCCATTGATGTAGAACCTTGGGACGAAGATCATTACTGGGTAGAGGAAGGACCTCACTTGTTTGCTACCACCCCTTTTTCAGATTCGAAGGTGAGTTTCCTCCGATGGGTTCCCAAAAATCCCCTCGAATACTCTGTATTTTCTCTATTTTTCGAATGAATTTTTTGTGTAATTTGCTTCCAATCTCTTCCTTTTTCCTCCATATTTTTGCCTCAATTATAGCCATGAAACTGGCTATTTTAGATAGATTTATAGAGTCCTATTCAAACTGAAACGCTCCTTTATTCAGTTTTAGAGTCCCACTTGGACTCAAATGCCTTGATTTAGTATTTTGACTTGGTTGTTATTCTTGTTACCGAGAAATACGAGGATAGTATTGTTGGGCAAAAATTTAGTGTCTACAGCTGCCCCTCTTTGTCCTTTTTCGTGGAACGAAAAATAGGACAAAGATAAAAAGACACAAATTTTGTCCATATCGAACGTCTTCTGCCGTAGAGTTGAAATCCGATGCAATGACTGATCTGTTAATTTAAATTGAATCACAAAATGACTCCCTCGTCGTGAGGTCGAGTTGAACTGGAAACTTCTGAGTACGATATCCTTCGTTGTGAAGTTGAAATCAAACTCAAAGCTTTTGGCAAGTGACTCCTGAATCGTCTTTTGGCTCAAGATACTTCGTCGTGAAGGTGGAACTTGACCTGAAGACTTTGGTGTTGATGTGTTACAGATGACTCATTCGTCGTGAAGTAAGGTCAACCTATTAGGGTATGATACCCTTCGTTGTGAAGTTGTATATGTATATGGCCCCTTTGTCGTGAAGTTGAGCCTGAGAATGGGATATCCTTCGTCGTGAAGTTGAAATCCAATGTAAGTTGCGTTGTTTCGAGGCCAATATCCTTCGCTGCGAAGTTGAAATTGACTCTGAAACTGGAAAGTGTGTTGACAGACACTCCTTCTTTGAGTTGAATATCCTTCACCGTGAAGTTAAAATCCAATCTAAAGATGGATGTTGCTTGTGTGCACGATTCCCTTCGTTGTGAGGTTGAAACCGTTGGTGACCCCTTCGTCGTGAAGTTGAGTCTGGAATTGGATATCCTTCATCGTGAAGTTGAAATCCAAGTAAGTAGCATTGTTCTAAGTCCAATATCCTCCGTCGTGAAGTTGAAATTGGCTCTGGAACCGGGAAATTGGTTGTTGACAACCAGCCGTCCCTTCGTTGTGAAGTTGAACTTGTGTTGTCTCGAGTCCAACATCCTTCGTTGTGAAGTTGAACTACGTTGTCTGGAGTCCAATATCCTTCGTTGTGAAGTTGAAATTGGCTCTGAAATTGAGAAGTTGGTTATTGACAACCAGCGGTCCCTTCGTCGTGAAGTTGAACTTGCGTTGTTTGGAGTCCAATATCCTTCGTTGTGAAGTTGAAATTGGCTCTGAAATTGAGAAGTTGTTTGTTGACAACCAGCGGTCCCTTCGTCGTGAAGTTGAACTTACGTTGTCTGGAGTCCAATATCCTTCGTTGTGAAGTTGAAATTGGCTCTGAAATTGAGAAGTTGGTTATTGACAACCAGCGGTCCCTTCGTCGTGAAGTTGAACTTGCGTTGTCTGGAGTCCAATATCCTTCGTTGTGAAGTTGAAATTGGCTCTGAAATTGAGAAGTTGTTTGTTGACAACCAGCGGTCCCTTCGTCGTGAAGTTGAACTTGCGTTGTCTGGAGTCCAATATCCTTCGTTGTGAAGTTGAAATTGGCTCTGAAATTGAGAAGTTGTTTGTTGACAACCAGCGGTCCCTTCGTCGTGAAGTTGAACATGCGTTGTCTGGAGTCCAATATCCTTCGCTGTGAAGTTGAAATTGGCTCTGAAATTGAGAAGTTGTTTGTTGACAACCAGCGGTCCCTTCGTCGTGAAGTTGAACATGCGTTGTCTGGAGTCCAATATCCTTCGCTGTGAAGTTGAAATTGGCTCTGAAATTGAGAAGTTGTTTGTTGACAACCAGCGGTCCCTTCGTCGTGAAGTTGAACATGCGTTGTCTGGAGTCCAATTTTCTTCGTGCTCATGGTTGAGTTTGTGTCGAACTGGATTTGTTTTGAACTGGTTCTCGAACCTATCTGAAATTGGCTCTAAGATGTCAAGTCGGTTGAGGTGTAGCTTCTTACTGCCGAGTTAATCAACCACCATCCTTCTTTGAAGGCGCTTGAGAATCGAGTATCCTTTATCCTGAAGTCAAAACTTGACTCTAAAAGCTGCAAAAACGTGTATGCTAAAATGATGAATGTGATGCACCTAAGTATGTTTAAGATGCATGGAATATGAATGAATTATGTGTTATCTTCTGGATGGAGTCTCGTGCTTTGTCTGTCAATCAGGTCATTGGAATGGATCGTGCCCCATTTGCTTCCTGAGCTTTGGCTTTACAGACCTTTCATATCTGAGACTGTTCTGCTTGAAAATGTTTTTCTCCCTTTTCTTGTTTTAGGAGAGAGACATGATAAAAATGTTGTAAAATATTGTTCGCAATTGAATCAAATTGTAAATGTGAGTTCAAAAAATATCAAAGGAATCAACAGCTCTTTTAATGCTTTCCGAGTTACAAATCTTTGACAAATGTTCAAATGGATGAGTTGACTTTAGGTTAGCCTCCTTTCTAAGGTTTTGGTAACCCAAAATGTTATTTTTTTTAAATATCGAAATATGCTTTGGCATTTCATTTGGGTGCGGACATAATGAAGCAACTAGAATGACCAATTACTAGACATTTTATTTCGGTCCTCTGAAATCTTCCATTTGTTCAAGCTTTGTAGGCTCCTCCAACAAAGGCAGTGCGAAAAATATCAGTCTAAAAATGAAATTCTTGAGTGCTCGTGTGTAGTCGACTATAACAGGTGTTCCTTAACTCCCTTAGTCCAATATTACCGAAAATTTCTTGCTCAGATAAATTTGATTTAATTTTCCATAGTTTGGCTAGCTGAATCCATAAAGTCGGGGCGTTTAACCAATTACTTTAGAGGGACAGCTTAACATTATAATCACTTTTATCAGGTTTAACTGAAGGGTTCATCTCATCACAAAGTCTTCGGCCTGACAAAAGCAGTGGAGCAAACACCGAATCGCCAAGTGTCCGAGCAATGTCATGGTTTGAATACAATCTATTCATAAAGCCAGGGCTTTCGAGTTTCCTCTGTAACCAATTGCCTTAGTGG